TGTACTGGCTGTTGGGGTACCCTTCGTGCGAGTTCTGCAGGGGGTCCATGCTGTTGGGGGCCGCCGCGGGGTGCATTATCCCCATCCCGGGGCTTTGTTGTCCGCCATGTTGATCAAAGCAAGGCCCGGCGCGGCTCGCCGTAGCGCTGCTGGCAGCGGCAGGGGCAGCGTTGCCATAATAGCTGTTGAACTCCGAGACACCCACCGCGGAGGGGCCGCCGCCACCGCCTCCCCCGCCGCCACCGCCGCCGCCGCCGAGGCCGCCGCCGCTCCCGGCGCTCGGGGGCGGCTGCTGGGGCTGCTGCTGTCCGCCCAGGGGTCCCAAGCCGGGGTGCTCGTAGCGGCCGCCGATGGGCTCGCCCATTTTGCCGGGCATCTCCTCCTCGTCGGCGCCTTTATTCAGCATCTGCTGCGGCGGCTGCTGCGGCGGCTCGGCCGGAGCGCCCAGGACGCCGTCTTTTCCTCCATGTTGCTGCTGCTCCATGTCTGCGCCGGGCTGCGCAGCGCCGCCACCGCCGCCGCCGTTGTTGTTGCCGCCGCCGCCGCCGCCGAGGCTGCCGCTGCTATTCTGCGCGGGATGGTGCTGAGGCGGCGGCTGCTGCGGCGGCGGCGGCGGGAAGGGGTTCAGCGGCTGCGGCGGAGCGTGGTGGCGGTGGTGCGGGCGGTGGGCATGGTGGTGGTGGGCATGGTGGTGCGGGTGGTGGGCACGGTGGTGGTGGGGCGGCGCGGCGGGGCGATCGCCTCCGACGCTCTTCAGCTTGTGGTTGGGGAGCAGCCCCGTCTCCATGGCCGAGCTCGGGGTGGAGGAGGAGGAGGAGGAGGAGGAGGAGGAGGAGGAAGGCGGCGAGGACGACGAGGAGCGCGCCGCGGAGCCGCCGCCGGCCTCCTTCAGCGCCGGCTCCGAGGAGGGGCCGCCGGCCGTGCTGCCGCCGTTGGGAGCGGCGCGGTGGGCCATGGCCGGCTCGCCGTGCTGCCGCCGGGCCGGCGCGGGGTGCTGCTGCTCGGCGGAGGGCCCCCCCCCCCCGGGCCGCGCTCCGGCGGGCCCGGCGCCTTGCCCTGGTTGTTGTTCGCCCCCGCCGGAGCCGCCGCCACTTGCGCGGCCATGATCACCGCCACATCGCGAGGTTGGAGGGACTGGCGTTGGGACCGAAAAGACCAAAAATCGGGCAAAAAAACAGACGGAGTTCGGCCCCCGCGCTCAGAGAGGGGGGAGAGCCGGGGGGAGGGGGGAGACGAGCGGGGCGAGAGGGCTCGGCCGGGCCGGGGCGTCCCTGCGCTCCGCAGAAATCCCCTCCTCGAGTCCGTGGCCGAGAAATGGTAAGAGCGCCTTACGCTGCGCGCCCGCTCCCGCTGTGTGACTTCATGTTGGAAGTTTTTTGTTCGGGTTTAAATGAAACTTTTTTTTTTTTTTTTTTTTTTTTCCTCCTTTCCTCCCTAACCCGGATATGGGTACGCGCACGTCTGGCTGAGCCGCGCTGGCCCAGCATGGCAGCGGCGGGCGGGCGGGCGGGCGGGTAGGCGAGCCCCGGCAGCCACATCGCCCCCTCCGCGCTCCGCGCCCCGCGCACTCGCAAAACGCGGACTGGACTCTGCCGGCCCCGGCGCCCGCTCTCCGCGCCGGCACCTGGAGCGACGCGGGGCCGCGGATCGCGCTGCCCCGCTGCCGCTCGGCGCTGCAGAGACGGGTCCGGCGGCGGAGCAGCCGGGCTGTGGCCGCCCGCGGGCGCTGTGCCGAGGGAAGGGAGGAAAGGAGCGGGCGGCCCCTAGCGCGCTGCCCCGCGCCCGGCCTCGGGGCTCCTCAGGCGGCGGTCAGAGTTCGGAGGTGTGGAAAGGAGCTCCGTTCCGTTCCTCTGGCAGAGAAATGCTGTTTCGCAGAAAAGCTCTGCTTTCTCTTCTCTCTTTTTCTTATTTTATTTTTCCCTTCCCCTCCCAACCCCTCGCCTTTTTTTTTCTTCCCCCCCCCCCCCCCCGAAATTTTCAGTGCTGACATCTATAAAATGTAACTTAAATTCTGCAGCTGTACCATTGGTGCCATTGTCCACATTGCCCAGCTGTCTCCAAATTCTAATGGTCATTTGCGCTGATGATGCTTTTATATATAGGGCTGTTCTCAATATGTTCTCTGTACTTATTTGCAGATAATGGGAGCTGATCAAGAAGAGAGAGGCATATAGTCTCGTAATTGTTTCCCCAAACAATGTAATTTCCCGTATGCACAGGACACTCATGAAAACACAGCAGTACCAGAACAAAAATCCAAATATGTCATCCAAATAGCACATGAAAAGTTGTTGCAGATGACCTACATTTTTAAAGCATCCTTCAGAATGGTTTGGGGGATTTTTTATAACTATTCTGATACAAAAAGTACCCCAGCATAAGAAAAAGTAAATGTTACACACTACATTAAACTAATGAAAGCATCTCGAGGTCAAATACTCTACTAAAGAAGCACCTAACAAACTGAGATGTTAGCAGTGTTTTCAGTGTAGCTAGGGCCTAAGAGCACTGTTTTAAATGAATATTTCTATGCATACTGTTAATGATCATCACATTTTCAAATTTCAAAATAGATAAATAGGAAACTCAGTGATACTGGTAGAGAAATGCAGCATGTCATGGAAGATGCTGTCACGAGCAGGTGGACTGCAGGTGGACTTTATCATTCCCATTGTGAAAGCATTAAAGAACAGAAGCATCATGCCCTGACATTGAGTAACATGCTGTGATTATTGATCCAGTACGAACAGCGCAGTTCCAATCTCTTATTAATTTCAGTTCTGTCTGAAAAATCAGAAGTACTCAGAAATACTCCGTTATGGAGCCAGGTTTGAAAAGTCTCAATGTTCATCAAGCACATCACACTCACACATCTGTTAGAACCGTATTTTTTGCTTGCTTTTGCAAAGAAAGCAAGTTTGCAAGTGCCAAGACGTTATAGAGCTACTAGAAAAGAGAGTGGCGAAAAAATGGTGAGTGACTGTAGCGGGGGGAATCAGGTGTGTACCCAGGGGTCATTATGGCCAGTAACGACAACAAATTGCAGTTCTATGCAAACTGCTCGAAAGGGGTATATCATCTTTGTAGGAGAGAGAATAACAGAACTGTATGGTGAATTCATGCCAAATCATTCATCAGCTTTTGCCAGGAGAATACTACATCTTTGTTAGTGAGCCTTTTTGACATTTTCTCCTGGATTTTCTTCTTTTTTACATTCAAATGCTCGCTAATTATACACATTAAATCGCATACACTGATTTTTTGTAGCCTTTCATATGCAAATACAAATATAGATGTCTACTTGTGTGCATTTATTTACATGTGTGCTCTAAAATAAAATTTAAAATGAACTACACATTTATACACAATTTTATCTGAGCAAAAATATATACATTTAAGCCCTGATAACATCTACTGATAGCACCTCGGCAGTGGCTCAGAACTTCCCAATGTGCTCCCCAACTCACAATCAGGAAAATAACCCACAAAGTTTAACAGAGATTTACTTTGAAATGTTCTCTCCAGTAAAAAAAAAAAAAAAAATTAAATAAAATAAGAAAAGATGCTTTAAACCAAGGAGTTGGTACCACTCCTGTTCCTTCCATGTGTTTCAGCAACTCGGCTGCAGGATTGGAACGAAGAGCCTCTGAAATAGAGGCCCCCAGCACAAAGCAATCAGGCTGCTATAAAAGGCAACACATGCCAGTTTTCCTCCCCAATGGCAGATGCCACACCCTCAAGCAGACAGAAGGCACTGCAGTCTGTGCACGGGAAGCACAACACAAAGCAGCGATGGTTCGATTTTGTAGATCACAAATAATGTTGAAATTCCTTTTGCCATCTTTGCTCAGATGATGAGTGGTAGTGTTTGTTAAATTCAAAGCCTCCTTTCCAAAAGCTCTCGTTGTATGCATGAATTATGAATTTATTATAATGTAAGAAAGCTCTAATTGCCATGCATATTATCTGCTGCAAAATGATTGCGTTGATATTTGATACCACAAGCAGTTTCAACTTTCATTCCGTTTTCATTGTTTCTTCAATGTAATTATTTTCTATACACCAACGTTGTCCAGGCATGGATTCCTTTCTCAATTTCTTCCCTGATGAACTACAAACTCCTGTGCTCTGGGATCATTTTCCAGGATAAACAGTAAAATTTTCTGAACGTGTTGTTGGCCATTGGTGTGCAACATTGGCTGTCATGTCTGCACAGGCCCCTGAGCCCTGGTGACAGTTAGCACAGTGTCCCTGTTGGGTCATTGCAGTAGCTTTTAAGTCACACATTGTGACAGCAAAGAGATACAGAATGCAAACCAGTGGTTTAAGAGCTCCGAGGTGTTATTTTGGAGACATAGAAGAAACAGCATTGTTGAGCTGCTTAATTTATATTTATGTGTTGTGCATACATATATGTGTCATGTGAGAACACAGGCAGAGGTTTAGGAGCCTGTTGCATCTGATCTGAGTGTCTACAAGAGCCTTAAAAATCCCTTTATCCCTTATTGTTTGGTTCTTGTTTTGCTTTCTGTTTAAATCCACTGTGCGGTTAGATGAAACAGTTGTCAAATTCACTGTAATTCTCAATTTCCTCCTTTAGACTGGCATTAGAGTTAATGAGCAAAAAAGAAAGAAATATGTGGGCTTTTATTAAACTATCGCTTCTTTTACTAGTTAAGCACCCAATTCAAATTGTTCCGAAGCCAGTGCAAATCTTTTAATTGATTTCAATAACCCATAAATCAGATCACAGAAAAGTAAGCAGCCAGCTCCGAGCTCTAACTTTATGCTTTAGCTCGGTATTTGAGCTCCAGTAATGGGATTTTCCCCTTAAGAGAACCTTTATGTGGTCGACACACACATAAATGTAACATAGCAGTATTTTCTTTATTATGTAATATTTACATTTCAGTCGCAAATGGAATATGTAAACTATTGCAGTTGATACCCAGCTGATAAGCAAAAATCTGTTAGGTGTAAAGGCTGCTTGTGAAGTGTAATCATTTTATTTCGGCTGGTCATAATGCACTTGGAGAAAACACAGTTTATGCCAACAGATTGTGGCCTAAAACGTGTACAGAGTGACACATTCTACCATTTAATTAAAATCCATTCTTTAGCAGCCACTAATCCCAGGCAATTTAATTAATTTTTTTTCTTCTGTCAATGTGAAAACAAAAGGACTTCAAAACACCACCATCTCCATCTCAAGAATGTCACACATGATTTTATTAAGGAAATGCAACATTAGCCATTTTTCACCTTGCAGGATTTGGACCACTTGAACAGAATGTTTAAATCCCGCAGTTTTACAAATGCACATCATCCATTGAAGTCAATAAGATCACTCACTTCCTTAAAGTTAAGCCCTGATTAAGTGCTTCTGCAGACCAAGGCCTCCAGGAACAACAGCTCCAGAGTCTACTTTGGTGAGATAGCAGCCCAAGTGCTTTTCTAAATCAAACCAAAATCTACTTGGCAGTGAGAGAGGAGGTGGTGTTGATTTCTGCCTTTACCCACTGCTGAAATTTGAGCCTTTAAACTGAATTTCATCAACATTTCTGGATCTTTTGTCATTGTCTGAGAATAGCAGTGAATTCTGGGGAAGCCTAGGAAAAGGGCAGCCTTCCTTTAAATGAAAAATGGATGGTCTTGTTCAAGTTTAAAGGGGAAATCTTAAGCAAGATTCAGTGCAGTGGTTATCACAGAGTTCTCTGCTATTTTTTTTTTTTTCTAATTTTTCTGTCTTTTATGAATCTTTTCTTTGCTGATGTGCAAGAGACAGAACTAACCCATTGGGAAAGCAAAAAAAATATTTGCCATTAGCTGCACATTGGTCAGAGATTCTTTCTTTTGCCAGCTGTAGCGGGCTGGCCTGGCTGATGCATAGAAGAAACAGTCAGACTCTTAACACACAGTTTTCAGACGCATAAAATAAACAAGATTAGAAACTTA